CGCTAATATCGCAATATGTTTTTTTCTTTTTCTGTGATAATATCATAGATATTTAACTTGCAATAAATTGGGGTGAAGCATTTTGATAAATCTCCCATGTTAAATCTACAGGAAAATTTGCATCCGTTGCTTAAAATAAAAATAAACATAAGTTGAATTTTAAACTGTTCCTTGCCATTTTGAAAATTGAACTGATTTGTCGAGCAGACATTTGCAGTGAGGTAAGGTGATGGTAAAGGTGTTGGCGTTGATTCGGTTGAGAGCGCATCTTCTGATGGATGTTCGATCCGTTTATCATGCTCAATGAATTCTGAATTCTTCTAGTAAAAAAAAAGAATTTTTTCTAGAACAAAAAAAAAAAAAAATTAGTGGCCAAATTTCCTGAAGAGCAAGTCTGATGATTTGATGATAAAGGTTACCTATCATGTTAACATTTCATTGAGTAACTTCTTTTGCACCTTTAGTTTGTTTCAATTTGGTTTAGCGCATCATATTCCATTCTATCTTAGTGTTATCAGCCGCCATTATTGTGATCTCCTATATGACTTCCAACTTCCATTGCTCCTCTCCTTTTAATATGTATCGGGTATTTGCACTATTATTTATTCTTTCTTTGAAGGTTTTATCAATGGTAAGTAACTGTGTCTATTCTATTAATCAGTAAACCTTTCCGGTTTAATTTATGTGGGCCAGCATTGTGAAGTTCGATATTTTGGCATATACTTTAATGTGCTCCAGATGGATAGATGAAGATTGAAGGAAAAAAAGAGGAAAAGTGATGCAATTTAGACATCTCTTGAGATAAGAGAAGATGTAAAAGTCTACAACTTACAAGATGATGCTCATGGAACTGGCTAGCACTACATGTTGGAGTTTTCACTTCATAGGTACTATGAAATATACCATAATCGATTTGATATGATCCATTGCTGCGCTGGTAAGTTACCAACTTTTTGAACCTTAATTTCACACAAAATATTGTCGTGCACACTTTATTTCAAAAATAATAACTGATTAGCTAAGATTCAACCTATTGCTAATCTTGACGTTGGTTATCCTATCACAAGTTACCTGTGTCCCCAGAGAATTTCGCTGGGTAAATAGGATGTACGTGCTTGAGCAGTCATTCCTGTTGACTCAACAATTCCTTCCAGCAGAACTATAATTTCGAACTGAGCACTCAATAGCACATTGGAATCATACTCGTACAGTGGACTGTCACGATCAATTACATGGCACAGAGTGGTCGGCCATACCTTAAATTCAATGGTCATTAATTAATCGACATTTAATTTTTGCCAGAATTTACATAATTCTGGATTGAGAAATCCACGTGAGATATATAATTTGTTGAATTAAACAGTTTCAACTAGCTTTTATTTAACAGTTCTGTTTATCACTAATAACTGGAACTAATCATGATTTCCCAACCAGTTTAATTGTTCTCTCTACTGGCTTTTTATTTCCAATGAATCCATGCAATATATTCGAAACTATTGTTTTACGGGTAATATTTTGAAATTCCACTAAAATGCTATAAATTACCAAGAAGATACGATCGTCATCTGTCGTGCTAGGACCCACTTTCATTTCATACTGATGCAGCGGTTCGATCTAAACAATAATTCATGACAAAGCAAATTTTTATTCTCTTGAAAAGCATGAAATTATGCTTGCCATTCTTAACAATTTTAGCTTATTTTAAATTCAAGCATCATTTATCAGCCTCACTTTTAAGTGTCATCCATTGTTTTTCCTAAAACAATTACTAAATAATTTTACCTCTCCCTCGGCAGTCTCACGATCAGTGATGAATTGTAGCCTCACATGAGCTTCTACCAAATGAGTGTTACGCATATCACCAACTCGACACAAAAAGCAAAATTGACCGTCTCGTAAACAAATTACTGCTTTTTCGCTGTAATTAAGGATATATGAGGAAAAAAAAAAAAGTCATCTCGTTGCAGAATGATCACACCAAATACAATCAACATGCTGATCGACTGAAGCAATGAACCTGAAAATGATGGTTTCAGCTCTTTTTTTCGGTCGTGCCATTTTTGCAAATACAAGACCAACCATAAAACTTTGAATCAAAAGACCGCAGATACACTGCAAACATATTACTGCACCGGCAACAGGGCATTCCGTTGTAATGTACCTAAAAATCTGTCGTTATAAACTTTACATAATCCGGAAAAGATTCCAAAAATTTACTAGTTTGTGTCATTTCGTAGAATTTCTATGATGATGATATTCATCATAATCACAATAAATTGTATTTTAAAATTTTGAAAACACTATTAACACTGCCCTTTTTTGTGGTCTTGCAATGGTAAATTATAAACAGGTAAAGAAAAATGTCTTTTTTTCTTACAGGTGTGAAATTTTCGGATAATTTTTTTCGTATAAATCGGGATAATAGATTTGGAAATAGTAAGGTTGTTTAAAGAAACGGGATTTAGTTATTCTCGAAATGTAGGAATTTCGAGATGATATTGCCGCATATTCATCAGATTGTATGAAATGATCCTTATTGTTATGAATGGCTTATTGAGCTGGTTTAATCTAACATTGATCGCTCAAATCTTTTTCAAGCACTTCACGAGTATTTGCATCTAGCGTGCAATCGCGCTTGCACTGATTACAACAATTATAAATAACGATTGATATGATAATCTAAAATTTGTCTGAAAAAGGCGTAGACTTTTTTTCAGAAGTTAATGACTTTGATAGGAATATTAGAGACATTACGCATTCCAATTGAGGAATATTAACAAGAGCAGAAAAAAAAAGAAATTACACCATTTAAAATTTAAGTTAAGACGAAAAGTTGAAGCCGAATAATAAGGATGTCAAAAAAGAAAACCTATGTCCATAGCCAATGGTATGATGTGTTTCAACAGCAAACAGGAATGATGAAAAGAAGGAGTCGATATTTTCGATACAAACTGAATGATTCAACATATTACGCTTCAAGTGATAACGTATATCACCGTGTAGAACACTGATAACATAGTAAAAACTTGCAAACATTGTCCAGCTGAAAACTTGATTTCCTTCATTGAATGAATCGTTTCAGCTCTTAATTAAAGATTAAACTTTCACTGCATATTAATTTCAGTATTACTCCGTTTAAATTGATGAAGTTTAAAGAAAATATATGCTATCCATGATCTTAGGTTCATTAATTATTGTTAATGTTAAAAGACCTATTTATGTAACTTACCAATCGAATTGTTTTCTCATTCAGGTCTGTGATGATAAGAAAACTCCAGTAATTTAATCGAAATTACCAACACAATCCTTTTCAAGCTTATTATAAGTGCATTTAAAACAAACCTCTTGTAGGTTGTGTAGTTTTGAAACCGATTTTTTTATATGATCCAAAGTGTAGAGAAATTTAATGCTTGGCTATTGTGCTATCCATAACAAAACGATTAAATGAGAAATCAAGTTTAGAATGCACTAACCTACTTATGAAAACAATAGCAAATATAACAAGCATATATCGCCATTTGACATCAATCATTGTTGTGAATATATCTCTGAAATCTAATTAATTAGGCTAATAGGACGGCATTTTTGTGCAATTTTGAGTTTATATAAAGTGTGAAGGACTAAAAAGTAGGTATAATCAATTCAAATCATGAATTTCTAATGATAAATAAAATGAAAATTTAATTGGAAAAGATAACTCGTAACAGACCTTAGATATTGCCGATCCTTTTTAGGGACATTTGTATTATAAACATTACAAATCCCGTTTTTGGCTATTAGCCTCGATTTTTTTAACTTTTTTATTGTTTTCCGTGGTAAAGATGTTGATTGACGTCTTCCTGCCATTGCTGCCATTGTGCGAAAACTTTCAGAAAACGCATCTAAATAATTTGATTGATAATTTATTATAAGATACTCTACAAGTCTTCATTTTCATCACTTAACTAAACGTGAATCTTAATGAGTTTCGGAACTTTCAGAAAAATGTTTTCATGAAATTTTTACCAGCAATAGATGAAGAACGCTTGCAGAAGGAATTTTTAGTCAGCAACGGCTGCGCACCTAAACTCATCTTACGACTTTTCCTCCGTATTTTAGTTCTGTCAATTTCTGGAAATGTTGGAACCGATAGCGTCATCGCTCTGAAATAATGATAAGTGATGACTTGTATAATATAGTTTTGAATAGAAAAAAAAAAAGATTTTTTATCGAAATTTTGTTGCTTTTTCACGGTTTACTCCTAATAACTCCAGGTTGGTTTTATTTAGGAAATTGAAAATTTCCATACCATTACGTCATTTTTTCAGCTACAGTTTTCCGAACCATGCGACACTTACAATTTTTTAGTCTTAAAGCTACTTGTTAGAAAAAATAATTCTTGACTGCTGTATCACTGTACATTCTTCTTTGATGAATTTGAAAATGAATCGAAAAATTAATTGCCACACGGAAACATAAATCACAAATGAGGGATAGATATGAAAGAGAACTGCGGTAAATTGAGAAAGAAATGAGAAAGGAATGAAACGGAAAGTCTTTGTTCTGTTGAAATATTTTCATATCAGTTGCTAAACAGTTTCATTTTCTAGCTGTTTAAATGACGCATAAGCAGGTTTAAAATTCAATCCGATAAACCGAAATTATGGTTTGCTGTAAACAGTATTATTTTCATATTAAAATATTGCAGTTCTTTTTTTCTTTTTTTTTACAAGAACTTGAAAATTAACTAATGTTGTTGCAGACAGGACTGTCGCATTGTTATTTTCTTTAAGCTTTCTTTTGAAACTATTTTCCTCTTCTCAATTTTGGCAAAATAAAAAACTTAAACTTGGGATGAGTTGGAATTTCAACTCATCTCAGCACAAGCATATTTCATAAAAATTTCTAATCGTGCAAGTATTTCAAAAATTTTGAAACTGTTGGCATAAGTGCTGTATGAACCATTTGTTCATTTATGAAGTAAACATGCATTTCAATAAGCATGCCGACAAACACTTCCATTTTAAGGACTCTTCTTCTACATAAATGCAAAAGAAAAAAGGATAAAATTAAACAATCTGCAGAAATTTTATCACCAGCTGATGACTGCAAGGTCAGCTAACAGCTAATCAAATGAAGAAAAACAGTATCAAAAATAATCAGCGAGATAAGTTATTTAAATTTTTGTGTAAACAACGAAAAAGATGCAGCAAAAATCTGAAATAACCTTTGACTTTTAGCAAGAAGCCTTTTTTCACCATAGATACTGACATTTTTGCAATCTTCAGCCATTTATTAAATTCCCTTTATTTTCGGAATTTCCTTCGCTTTGGTTGCGTTACAAAGGAGCCATTATGGAAAAATTGAACAAAGTGATTATTTCGGTGAATTGTGCAGCACTTTGAAAATTTTTCATATTAATCTAAAGAAAAAACGAATTAAAGATTTGTTTTTTGAAGTGAGAACGAACCATTTTTGCGTTATCAACTTGTCGCAGCGTTTTTTGTTTTCTTTCTTTTTTTTTATTTTGAGGTAGAAGATGGGAAGCAGTTGAATAGTTCAATATTTACTGAAAAGTATCATATTCCGGTGGTTCGATTTTTCCGCCAAGCTAGCAGTTAGTTATCACAATGTTACTGCGGAAAGCGGAAGAATATCATTTTTTGTATGTTATTCGCGATGTTTGAAAAGTTAATATTATTAAAATGTGGAAATATACAATGCGTTTCAGTCGCAAATTTCATTCATTGGGTAACTTTAGTTAGAAGTCTTAGGAAACGGAAATTGATCAAAGTGATATGGCTGTGAATAGGATGGTTAATTTTTAAAAGAGACTGTCATTTCGATTATCCAAGTATCGATGCAATTAACAAGAGGAGTATTTAGCAGGAGTAACTTGGAAAATAAGGAAAGAGTATGGATACTGAAGGACAAATAAATACAGCCAACTGGTATGTTTAAAAGGATTCATTTTCTGGTAAATGTTTTAAAAAAAAGAAAAACTAACATTGTTAATAAATCTGATACATTTCTGATAAGCGAGTAAAAATTGAATAGATTGAAAGTTAAAAGTCGAGTTTAATAATGAATATAGCTTTCAGTAAAACAGTTCCTACCTTCTGTTTCAACAGCCATTCGTTCTCTTTGCCACAATACGCTAATATTCCGTGCTGTAATCTAAATACATTAGTATAAATTGTTATCGGAATTCATTTGCTTCAGAAAAGAATCTAAAGGGAATTTATATTTTATATTCGATTTATATTTTACATTTTATATTTTCATATTTATATTTTACATTTGCATTTTATACGTAAAGACATTTGCAACTTTTGGCAACTTTTCTAGTGATTAACATATGAATTTCCAAGAATTCACCACTAAGTAATGCATCCAATCGAGCAATTCTATTTGGAAAATGTCATATTGAATTGCACAGATCGTTGATAAATTTAAGATCATGCCGAACTGAATAAAGTAACACCTTTAATCAACCTTGAATTTTTTTTTGTTACCATTTCTTTTTTACCTAATTCTTTTTTTGAATCCATTGAAAATATTCATGGAACAAGGTGAAAAAAAAAAAAAAAACTTGAACCTGAACATCTCTAAAAAGAAAAAAACTCTAAAAAATATAATCATAAAATTAATGATGTCAAAGTGGGGCAAATGGAATTACGAGTAAAACATCTCAAGCAAAGTTACATAGGCATAAATTTATTGTCCAAATTTTCAGGATTTTTTTCCAATGAAAAAAAGAAATTAGATGGAATAATGGGATATTGTACAGAATATTAGAATACCTCTTAATCATCAATATTCTAATCCGTAAGCTGTAAGTGTAATCCGTAAGCGAATAAAAAGAGATGATTTGGTGGCTAATATTAAATCCGTTTAGATAGAAATTAAATACGAATAAGACCTATTTAGCATTCAGTTATGCTGTATTAATTAGATCATACTGGATAATCCTGCCAATATATTTGTTCAAATTTCAAACTGACAAGCAGTATGGAAGACAAAATTGAAGATTCCATACACATATTATGACGATTTCCCGAACCTTTGCAGTTTATCGGGGCAAAAATTAAGATATTCCTCATTTGCTAGGCGCTACCCAAATATAAATGAGAAGCCGATCGATTTCGGCAACCTCTGACAAATATCGACCAGTGACATTTGAGTCAACGAACTCAATGGAACAGAAAAAATTAAGCATAATATCAAGCAGATAACAAAAAAAAAAAACGGCGGGACCAGTGAAACCTACTACGAATATTTTGTGGTAGGATTTATCAATAACAACTCCTAAACAGAAGGTAATTAATTTACGAGGATGTGGATATAGTTCAAAAGTGGATAAAGACTTGACCATTTTTCTGGAAATACATGAATCACCGAAATACAATTTGCTGAATGTCATCACTGATAAGATCATTTGCCTATAATATTTCGGATTTCTAGCTCAAAAGGGTAATGAAATAGCAATATGCTACGTTGTAGAAAAAAATTAAAGCGTGAATATTGAAGCAGTAATAAAAAACAAAAGAGCATGCTTAATTTTGTTCCCATCTCTCAATCCAAGCTTCAGCAGCTGGAATAATCACGAACTAACAAGAAATCATGGTAGAAGCTTCTGCACTTGTGCTTATAAGAGAACCAGAAGAACTAGAAGAACCAAAAGGACCAGAAAGGTCAAAGGAATCAAAAAGAAAAATGTATGGTGATTGTTCCAGTTAATTTTAAATCTGTGATCCCTTTTTGTCATCGTTTCTGCCTGCAATTTCATTTATTTCAGGAAAATTTTTTGGAATCCAATCTCTCCAGCTAACTCATTTTACAAAAAAATTTGAAATGGTATGCAGATTACCAAACAGTTGTTGTGCATAATTTGCATAACAGCTGTTCAAGAGCCTGTCATAATATATTGGGGTTATAACCTTGCACAAGAGATAAGAGAAGTGCAATGATAATTCTGATAGAAACACGTGAAGTATGATGAATTATTGAGATGTGCTGATATACTGGAAGAAGTGATCAATTATTTTAAACGAAAAGTGATAGATCACAGGTGGAATAAATACTCGTGAGAATGTAATAGTTTATGTACAACGGATGTTGCACGGATAGCAACTATTAGTATAATATACCAAACAAGTTCATCTTCTAAACGCTTGATTAATCATTTATCAGCAGCTCTATGAAATATTTCATTATTCAAGATAGAATTGTTTCAAAATATTGCAACTTTTTGTCTTCGATGGTTCACAGTTTATCGAAATGAAATTAAAAAAAAAAAGGGAATCTAACTATTAAAAAGTTTAATGAAAATGAAGAACAACATTAAGGCAGAAGGGACTGGAAGTGTGAAAGTCTCATCATTTGTTTTGTTTTCAGTCTTTGGCCACACTATTAGTAATGACTAATTATTACCCCCATCTTTTCATCTGTTCCATCTTCTTCAATCCTATCTTTCTTCATCAAACTTTTTGACCATCCAAAAAAAAAAAGTTCGCATTTTAAAAATTTGTCGGAATTTTTTTAAACTGCAAACAGACGACAGTGCACTAGCAATTGACTAGCATCATTATCATAAGATACAAGACGCTCTTTGGCATACAATCTACAATCACTAGCTTTGAAATTCCTAATTTCTTCGTAGAATGAATCAACAACTAAGGAAATCGAAAAGATGTCAAATTTTCACTCGACCATTGATTTGGCCAACTTTTAGTGCTCTAACAAAACATAAAGTAAAAATATATTTGAAGCATTTCTTAAAAATGATGTTTTCTCTTTGTGATTCTGTCCTCTTCCTTCATTTTGTTATAAAACATCCATATGTCCAATATGTAAAGGATAATTTGTTTCTTAAAAGCAATGGATATAATTTATCATGGAATAGCTAAAGGTCAAAGAAATCCAGTTGAAAGGAGCAACACTATAAACAGTCTGATTGTTCATTTCAATGCATATACTGGCTGATTATTTGGGTCTCCTAGCTTTACATTTTTTTTTCTTGCAAGATATCCTTATGGCTTGATTGAGAAATCCTTCAGATGTATTCTTGCTTCTTACGCTGCTTCGTTATCATTACCATTCTATCAATTTGGTGACAACATAACAACCAGGTTGTCTCCTCTAATATTAATGAATATTAAAATATTTCAAGATACAAATTATATTCACTTATAATTGAGCAATTCCATCTTTTCGCAATTTCGAACTAATGACTAATCACGCTTCACGCTTTCATCGTGCATTTTTTTTTTCTTTTTGTCTTTGTTTATTACTGTGTTTGACACAATTAAGATAATGAATTAGAAAGTGATAAGAGAAGAAGAACGGGAAATATCACTTCACCAACGATTTATACAATAAAACCGATGCATAACACAACTTTCCATCACAATTACACTGGGACGGTAAATTTGTCACATAATATTAATTTTTACAGTAACGGATCAGTTTTTTCCAAATGCAAATGAACTGCCAAATTCAAGAAGAAAAAGCTCGTCGAATTTCAGGAAAAAGGAAGCCATAACGATTACTAAATGATGTCCCAAAACATACAGCAAACATGAAGAACAGTGAAAAGGAGAGAGTTTTAGACTTTGTAAGCTTAAGATTGAACTTTGAAAAACTAAAGGAAGAGAAAGGAGAAAAGAAAGACAGGGAAAAATTCATTAGCATAAAGAGTTGGCCATATCAAATATGCGTCAAAGTTCAATTTGAAGCCAGTTACATAGGAAAAAGCAAGATAGGCTGTGACGAAAAAAATGACTAAACCAAAACATGATTTGAAATTGTTATAGATAGACCAGTGCTCGAAATATGACAAGCTATATTCCTGAAAATTTCAGGCAAATTAAAAACTTATTATCGGCATACTTAAATCAGATTACTGAGACCGAGAGCTTAGTTAATATTTATTGCGATAGATTTTTTGCTGAGAACAAGACGGTACACTGTATATTCGACGTATAGTCCTATTCTCATCAGGAAATGCAACGATTCAAATAACAGTTCAGGTAGTGCTAGCTGCTAGCCAGAAAAATTTCTGCATTTTAATGATGATTTTTGCAAATGAGAGAAGAATAATCCGTCAATTTAGCAGCAATAAACTGACGGATCAAACAACTGTTGTTTACAACAACAAACTGAGAAATCATAATGATGCCAGGAGGAGTAAATTATCATGAAGTGATATAAATCATATCCAAGTTTTTGCACAGCAGGTAAGGTAAACATATCATAACACTAATTGTCAATAATTTACCAAATACTTATAGCTTGAAAATTCTCGGAACTCTCAATGCTCATAAAATACAACCAATCAATAAAGTCGATTTATAAGAACTACACAAAACAAAAGTTTATATAATTGGTGATTCCTGAATGAATGATAGCATGCAATAGCAAGCGAAATCTTTGTGCAAAGCATAATGGACGAATTAGAAGGGAACCTGAATATGCAGTATAAAAATCCCCGCTAAGCAATTTGATCTTTTCTTTTTCCAATCCAAATGGTGAAATAAAAATCTAGTCAATTATGTATATCTAGCGGAATCAGCAAATGGCTCTTGTCCCGTATCAGTGAAATAATTATCTGATTTAGAAAAGAAATAGAGAGTTAAGTAGGAATGAGGCAAGGCATGAATGAAGCTCCGAAAAATAGTGTGTTAGTCAGCAAAAATTTATTCTTGGATCTTAACTATTAAGATCTGAGACCATTGAGGTTTGCAAACAAAAATAATGTTTTTGAGATAGGCTTCAAAAATATCAAATTGTCCGAAACATCCACATGAGGCTTGCATATCACATCACTCTTCTAATTAACATTTATTTTCCCGATACCTTCCTTAGCAGCAAGTACATCCATGCAGTACCATAAAAATGACTCTATAAAAGTGTCGATTTTATCAAGATCCAACGACATCACTAGCATAACTAATCCAGGCTCCAACATAGCAAGATGCATCCATAGCTGTAAAATTATTTTAGAATTACCATTTGATTACATTTGCAGTGGTTTACTTTGACTCAATTTAGTTATTCCTTCTTCATTCTGAATTGATTGAAGCTTTATAGACAGTTGCGCCAACATGACATGACAGTATTCAGAAATTGGTATACCTCATATCGTAACAAGATAATTTATTGAGAAAAGCAGCAAAAAAGAGCATATAGCAGCGATATTAGATTCAATAAGAATTAGCCACAGTGCACTTTCGGATATATATTCCTACCTAAAGAATGACGAAAAATTAATTTTGTTTTTTTTTTCGCATCACAGGATGAAGCAGTTTAAGAATTCTTTTCGTTAGTTCCACAGGGATGCGATCTGTGTAAAAGTGTGTTACGAGAAATATTGCAATTTGAAAGAAATGAAATACTCCCACTTCGAATTCGGTTAGCAGATTATAAAATGTTCCATTAAAGCATACCTTAAAATGTTTTTGTTTTTTTTATCAATTCGAAAGTTTAGCACGGAGTAATTTGAACTATACAGTTTCAGTATTACATTGGATCACTTTCAGTATCACATGATATTCGCTGATTTGAAAGAATATTCTGACTCACTAATGGAGTCAAAATTGATCAATTGCAAACAAATGGATTTGCTACAGGTTGGTAGAAGGCACTCAAATTGCAATAAAATCGCAATTAAAATTATATTAGAAATTAAAATTTTTTTTTGATGAGGAAAACCTGCTAGAAGTGATTTTATTTTGAAAATGAAAATGAAAAAATGACTTGCGCTCAATAGAAAAAAAAAGCCAACAACAACATTAATCAAGAACGTTGTACATTGTCAAAGAAGTGATGAATTTGAACAATTGCGTTTTGTTTACTTATAAGATAAAGGAAATTAACATCTGGACCTATCTAGATGTATTCATGCCTATTCGAACTCGGTAGGCGTGATTTTAACTTCAGTGACTATTCATCCATTATGCTACACAATAGTTGCAATTTATTTAATTGAATTTGTAATTGTTTTTTGCTTTTTTGACCGCTGCAAATACCTTTCGTTGTTTCTCAAATCTACAGCTACATCCAGAACTATGATTTTATGATTAAATCAAATTTTAAATCCACAGCTCTTCGCATCATACTTGGCCCTAAATACATTTCATGCAGGTTAGCATCCAAACTTTTAAGTCTTGTTCTAATACAAAAAACTTATGTATTGGTAAAAAGTAGCCTGAAAGCCATCTTGAGAGATAAGCCTGGCGTCATAAGAAGTAATGCTGAACAGGAGAACGGACGATAGGGGCACTTTGGCAGTCATAAAATCAACAAATTAACTAATTGAAAATAAAGAAAATAGACCCAAACCGGAGAAATCATAATTCAATTTTTTTCTAAGCCTTTCAACTCATCTCTTTTTTATTTTTGAATTCACGATTTTAATAACACTGGTTTTGTTTCCATTTTAGATTTGAAAGATGGCACAATAATAATTCAAATATTCATTCACCTTATAATTCCTTTTAATTTGACATTTTTAAGGTAATCAAGAAGCAAGTCACGATTTAAATGCAGCTTTAATTAGATGAACTTGTACAAATGTTATAATTAACCAACACATAATTAATTAACTAGTTATTCCTTTCAAATTGTCGAGATCAGCCGATAATTTGTGATGATCTATGCGCCAAAATGAAAATGTTAGAGTGGCATTTTTTTTTTTATTTTAGCAAATCTCACCACCCCATGTCTCACCTGTTCTTTCATTATTGAATTTTTATCATGTCAAGATCGAATGGGGGAACGTGACATTACATTAAGCTAATTTTTCAGAATTTTCCCGTGATATTTCATGGATTTCCACCATTCAAGATCGATATTTTATAATCAACGGTTCAGTTTTTCCTTCTTTTTTTTGAAAGAAAATATGTAAATATCTAATAGATGTCACAATGACGACATCTGACTGAAAAACAAAGACAAAGTGCAAATTTGAAACAATGTGAAGAAATCGTTTAAATGCAATGTTTATTTGATAATTTGGCCTGTTATGCTAAAAAAATGGCCTCATCTCGAATGAAAGTGCATTTCACAAAATATCCCACTAGTATTGATGTAAAATCCAATTTGCATTGATTTCCTTACTATTACAGCTTCCCACTTTTAGCATCTATAAAATTTTGTCCGGCATTTTATGTGTACAGTTACATACCAAATATTTTGCCACTAGTATGGGTATAAAAGAAATTTTTAGTAAATCACAGTGCAGTCAAATATGACATGAGACATACCTTAAACTTTATACTTCATTGAAAATTAGCTCAGATCGTTACATAACATTATGTTTTAGCTTTGCTTTTTCTTCTGTCTCGGGAATCATCTTTCTTGTAGCTAGACATCATTCAGAGATTTCGTCATTAGTCATAGTCCGTATTTACTGATTACAATGCTATAAAATTTTTAAAAATGAAATAGAAAAATTTTTCTAAGAGAAAATTACTTAATTGATAGAGGCATCTGAAAATTAGATTTTAACATGCGTAAACTGTCGTTTAAACTTCAGCCAGAAGACAAAGCCTGCCGATGTGTTATTTGCGCTTCAATCTTAAAACTATTCTAGAAGATATTGTATTTGCTTGACAAATCTGGATAGAACAAACATGAAATATTTCAAGGAGGTCCACATCTCAACAGAGATCATGACAAACAGATCAGCTTTGACCATTAGTACCGCATTTTAAATTTATCGTGAAATCCTATCACTCCTGAACATGTCAAATAATGCGTCAACTTCATTTTTTCAGTTAATTGACTTGGCTAACCAAAAATACAAGCCTAGAAGTGGGAAATCGCATTAAGCATTTATTCCAAAAAACTTGATGCTTACAAATAGCAACTTTTTCTTTCAAATAATTAATGAATTCAAGTTCAAGTATATCCCTGTTGTTTCAAAAAGAATATGGAGAAAATCTGACTGACAATAACTAACCACCTTGTCATTTGGCAGATTTCTCAAGTCTCCTTTACGATACATTCCCGAAATGAAAAGCGAACAATATTTCTTAGACAGAAATCAGATAAGATGTAAAGAGCAATCTCAGAGTAGCGATTTTCCCATTCATACAAACAAATCACAATAAAATAGATATGCAGAAATTGTTTTGTTCCGGATATTTGAATTATGATCGTTACTCTCTTTGACATTTAAATGTAACCTGCAGGTGAACAAGTTTTGATATATCCAGTGGATTACCTATTTCAACTGTCATTATTAAACTGCCATTATCATACTGATAACTATCTGATTACGCAATGCACTGTATTCCGAAGATGGACGGATTGTCAACCGGATCGCTTTCATGAAAAGGTTTAAAATGCTTTATCCATCGAGATGGATGAAGTAGACAAAAAAGGGAGTAACGCAAAAAAAAGCGACAAATTGAAATGTGCAATATTTGGAAACACATCAGCACCAATAAAAAAGTTATCTACGACTGATAATTTTTCATCTTCAACTAGCAGGAATTCAATTCCATCTAACAGATTAAAGGAAAGCATAACGGAGAATTCAAATCGTACAAGCTTCTGCAAAAACTACAACAAAGCCTTTAGACAATCCTGCGTTCCTCTCCTTTTATTCAGATTATTGCCGCTTTTTGCAGCCTTCCTCTCGGAGTATTTATCGTCTCGGTACATTCTCTCTTTCTACATCCATCCTATATGAAGTTTAACACTGGCCTACTAAAGAACCTTTTGGTATCGTTTTCTTCTTTTCAAAGTTTAATATTTTCAAAAATTCATTATTAAACGAACACGAACTCACCCGCCATTCGGTGTAACGCATCTCTCAGCCAGCTACATGACTCCAGCATGTGTATAACAGCTTTGGTCAACATCAAAATATTCCCCTCGATGTGTTAATTTGAGCCTGGCATGTAATTTCATCTCTCCATTATTCAGTCCTTCCGAAACTATGTTCCGCTATCGTTTGATAGTACACATCGCATCTTCTGAATACTCTTCAAGATATTACGAAGATCCAATGACTTCTCACTCAGATGTGTAAGATTTCAGAAGCGCCCCGATGAAGCGAAAATACTCGAAATCTGTTACACATATATCCTTTTATCTTTGCTCCTTATGCCTGATAACGCTTTAGCTTCTCGAGAATAGAACCGTTGCAAAAAGAAGAGTATTTGTATCACAATTACAATCATCATCAGTACGGTACAAAACACTGTGAACACATCACTTAGCAACAGATAGGAAAGAACACATCATCGGATGGCAGCCGCTGCTCGCTTTCCTCTTCCATCTCCATTCATCATTTGCAACTATCATTCACTCTTTTCCTTCATTTTACTTCGTTTGTCGGAAATTTCGCCTTCTAATCGCTCTGAAATTACATTTTACGAATTGATCGAGCCATTTCTAAGCACTGATACTCATGAATCTCCTCTTTTTCCATACTCCTTACTTCCATAATCATTCGTAAACTTTCGTACCTATCAATCAATAAGATGTCACTATTCCACCATATATATATGTATATATATGATACATATGCTTGTGCATGGATGTTTGTGTACACGTTTACTAACAATTCGGTTCAGTAAATGTTTGCTTCCTGAATTGATTGGGAGAAAAAAACGTCCAGACAAGAGAAATGAGGAAAATATTCCGTGATATCATTTTTACTGCAATTTCCATTATCGATTTATTCTTTGTCTTCTGATAATATTTTCCGGCAGACTCTCAAATCAAATTTCAGTTTTCCCGTATAATTTGATAAAGAAATAGGAGGAATATTTGATTTCTATCTACACAATTCAGATACTGATGGCACCAGACAGAGACACCAAACATCACACCTACAATCAAGTGGTACATTTGCTGTTATCACGTGTTCCCTGATCTATTTGTTGTCTATCGGGAAATGGTGGTAGGTGATATTTGCAATGATTCAGCCCTTATTTTCCATTTGTTTACGTACTATACGGAAAATGTAAGACGAATCGATCCCCATTCAGTGGCACATCGGTCTGTCTGGTGAATTGACTGACGGACTATCTGACTGACTAACTAACTGACTAACCGATTAACTTACTAACTGACTGACTGGTAACTCTTGGACCAGGCTGCTCTCAGGGAATTTTTGCGCTATTGCCAAGTTTATTTGATCCGTTCGTTGAATTTGTACAAAGCATACCAACATGTGCAAACATTCCCTCCCACGTATGAACTGAAAGTGCGAGACGGGATTTAACATCATCATTTGTTGAAATGGGTTCCCTGGGCTTGTTTCCGTTCGGTGAAAATGATGCGGCACTGTGTTACGTCACTCTTATGGGGAGGGGTTTGTCAGGATACTCAGGACAATATAGGCTCTGGTTCATAACTTGGTCCAAAACTTGGCCTTGAATTTCAGGAGATAGCTAAATAAACCTGGCTAAGCGAAATAGCAATACATGAGTGAAGCGGACCGTGGCAACAATCTGCATATCGATTGGTTTCATGGCTTTTCTTCGTATCGTCTAAAATCCAAACTGAGAAAGCCTTCTTCTTCCTTTTCTTGGGACACGACCGAGTTTTAGTGAACTTAGACTTTGAACTGTCTGATAGGAGTGTGTGTCACACTTTCCAGATTTTAAAAAACAAAATGAAGTTTTCTTTTTTTCTTTTGAAATCAGTTGATCAAAAACAACATATAACCATTGTAGGGTTTTTTACACTTAATTTTTCCTCACTTATTGTTTTAGAATAGTTATTTTAGATTTCATATAAATTCTAAGCAAGCCTTATATCAATTTAAAATTAATCAAAGATATTTGAAATGTAATCAACTGATTGTCTCATTTTCTCTTCCGTAACATTCCCCCATCCTCTTGTTTCCCTGCTGTCTCTTCCGTCTAACTTTTGCATTGTTTTCTTCCTGTACATCCTTTGCATTGCTTTTATCGCATCTTTTACTGGCAGCAGTTGGTGATGTATGTACGCAGAAATTTCGAGTTATTTTAAAGCGTCCATTTAAAAATGATTTGACCTTGTCGAACATTGAACCATGATAGTTTCAT